TCTGGTTGATTTTTGATGAACAGAACTGGTGGGTTCTCTTTCATTTCTCTTCCTCTCATGGAGGAGAAGGCAGGGAACACTTAAGCAATCAAACCAGAGCAACACAAACTGAAAATCCCAAATACAGGAAATACCACAAAACTGAACAGGAAAACCCACCCCGGCATTTCCTACTATTTTCTGTTATGTGAACATGCAAAACACTCAGCAGGAGGTTCTGTACAAGGAAGGGGGTGCCCCTCTACTGAAAAGTAGAGAAAATAAAGGCTGGAAGATGCTAAAAAGCAATGACATGGTGAAAAAGGAAGGTGTGCATTCAATCCACATCCTTTCTGTTTAAACAAATATTTAATAATTTTGCTTTACTGTTACACATAGCAGTATAAAACCCCTTTGATCTTTATAGCTTGAATAACAGCCTTCCTCTCCTTTTTGTTTTCAACATTTTATCTGCATTTCATAAATGAGCTCCATACAAAGTTAAGACGTTTCAGTGTTACATTTTTCTGTGTCTCTCCCCATAAGAGGAGCACTGAGGGAGTCTGGAACATAAAAGTGGCTTAGGTAAAAGTACTGGTACTAAGTGTGGTGGTCTTTGAGGGGGTCCCAGGATGAGGGAAGAGATGAGAATCTTGACTCCATGTTTCAGAAGGCTGATTTATTATTTTATGATATCTATTATATTAAAAGAAAATTATATACTAAAATTATACTAAAAGAATAGAAGATTTCATCAGAAGGCTTGAAAGGAATAGAATGATAATAAAATCTTGTGACTGACCAGAGTGTCTGAGCCAGCTGGCTGTGATTGGCCATTAATTAAAAACAACCACATGAGACCAATCAAAGCTGCACCTGTTGCATTCCACAGCAGCAGATAATCATTGTTTACATTTTGTTTCTGAGGAGAAAAGATCCTAGCAAAAGGATTCTTCATAAAATTTATCCGTGACAACGAAGAGCTCTTGATTTGTGAGCGCACTACACAGGGTGTTTCTGTAAACACCAGTGCACCCCTAAATCCAGTGGGGGTGGGAAAAGCAATGCAAAAATAAACAAAGATTGTTACTGACCTGCTCCTTCTCTGCAGGGAGACTCTGGAGGGCCCCTGGTGTGTCTGCAGGATGAGCGGATGTACCTGATTGGAATCATCAGCTGGGGAATCGGCTGTGGCCGCAAAGACATTCCTGGTGTTTACACAAAAGTGATTCGTTATCTTGGCTGGATTCAGGACACCATGAAACTCTGAGAAAGGAAAATGAACCCTTTCCAATCCTGTGACCATGCCCTCAAAACTTCCTACTTTAAGTGTGCTGACAGGGCTTCCTGTTTGTCCAATACTTACAACTCCTAGTAGACTAGGAAGACAAACTGCAGTGTGTAGGAAGGGCATGTTCTCATAATAATCTCCCCATTACAGGTTATTAGAAGCTAATCATCCTTTTCCCCACCATCACCAAACTTTCACTGTGCATCAAATCACAGAAGTACAATAAAAAATTAATTCTGGCCCGTGCCCTCAAAACTTCCTTCTGGGTGCTTTAAGTGTGCTGACAGGGCTTCCTGTTTGTCCAATACTTACAACTCCTAGTACAATAGGAAGACAACCTGCAGTGTGTAATACTCTGCCTATTACAGGTTATTAGAAGCTAATCATCCTTTTCCCCACCATCACCAAACTTTCACCGTGCATCAAATCACAGAAGTACAATAAAAAATTAATTCTGGCCCTGAGTGAATAAACCAAGAGAGATCATGCATCTCTTCAGCAATATATTGTTTTAGGAATGGGTGTGAACTGAAGGGGACATTTAATTTCCTGAAAATTTCAACTCCCTCCTTACTTGGCTGTACAATTTGGAAGACATTGAGCTCTGTCCTTATACCATTAGACTTTGCCAATTTAAGCTGGTTTCAATAGAAGCTGGTTCCCAATAGAAAGAACAAAAGCTGTAGCCACAGGCTGTTTATTTCCAGATTAAAACACTACTTACTTCTTCAGTTTGGAACCAATTAATTGAGTTTGAGCTTAAACTCTCTGAATAAATTCAGGATGGGTTAATTATTAGGATATTTTATTCTTTCACTTGGTTTTGTTCCTGGTAATGGAATAGGTAAAAATTTTAATACAGGCTTGATCTGCCACAGAATCAGTGTATATTTTTTGACTATTAAATTTCTATGCATTATCTTGTGATATGAAGCAAAAGCTCTCTCTTCTGTGCAGGTCAAAACAAAGGACAAGTGTATTGGAAGCTGTTTTAAGTTCCTGCTGGATTTACATCCACAAGGCCAAATCAGGTATCACAAGGCTGCTTTGTCCTTTAACAGAGAACAGGACAGGTACAACAGAGTCACCCTGAACCAGAATCAGTCATCAGCATTATTGCCTTGCACTGCAGCTGCCTCATGATGCTGAGTGCCATCAATGCACATCCTAAGAGTGAAGCCTCTCTGAGAGCTTTTGTCTCATTGTTTTGTAAGGAAAAAAAAGGTGTAACTACCATTTTACAAAAGGAAAACATTGTATTGAGGGTACAAAATGAATTTAATCATCAATCAGTAGCTCAGAAATCCCTGAGCTGGTTTCCATCTTTGCATCAGCTTTCCCACTTCTTACAGGGTTTTTCTCCCTACTTGTCCTCTTCCAGCACACAGCAGCACCATCACGAGACAGGATCCAAGAATAACCATTGCCATCTGCCTGCTGCTTCCATCTGACTGTGCAGCTGACATTGTCATACCCAAGTTGTTTCAGAACCTTAATTGACATCAGCATCTTTTGTAAATGAGCTGCACCTCATGCTTCCCCCCCAGAGCTCCTCCATATGTCCAATTTATGTCACTGAATTTCTCCATTTCCCCTTCCTGCCCTGTTTCATCTCCCACAGGAACTTGCAGCCATCTCAGGCTGGTGTGTCATAAGAACCTGATGCCCTAATGTATATAAAAACCTTTCAATATCTCAAGCAGTAAATAAAAGATCCTTTAAAAATCAAAGCTACAAATCCAAAGGACAGTATCAAGGAGCAGGAAGGTGATGAGGTATTTAATTGTCTACATAATCAAAGCACTGCCCTTAGCATGCTGCCCAACACCATAAGCAAAAATGGTTCAGCTGCATTCCTAAAGACATTTTCACTTGAGGTTCTAGGAAATGCTCAGTACTCCTTTTGGGAAACACAAAGAAAAATCACCAATAAATAAATTGGTTTTAGATTTTCAGACAGTGACTTAGTGCCAGGTTTACAATGCCAACTGCACAGACATTTACCTCCCTGAGGCACCCACTATACACAATCAAATTGCCATAATTTACATTCCTCCTCAAATACCAACTTTCTATCTCATAAAATGATATAAACCACTCTGAAATGACACAGATGACATGTAAAAATTCATTTTATTGTTGTCATTGTTGAAGGTTTGGTTTGCAATGAACATGGTCAGCAGTACCACCACCTCAGCAGAATGCACCTGCTATGGGATCCTGCAGCTGCACAGGAACCAGCAATCCCACAAGCAGGATAACATTCATGAAGTGTCACCACATGCAAGGTGGAATGAATGCTCTCCCTCATTCAGGGCCACCCTGTTCTGCTCACAAACATGAACTGGACTCCACAGCCACACGTGTGCAGCAGCTTAGTGCAAGTTCTGCTACCAAGAGAAAATACATTGGCATGTGGTGGCCACAGGGCTGTTACAGACAATAAAACAGTGCAGGTGCCTCTCGTTTCCTATTTCTGAGTACACAGGGATGGACCACAGGCTGGGATGGGCAGAGACAGCAATAGCTCCTGAGGAAGAGATGATCCCAGTGAGAAATCTGGGTTGGAATCCATCTGCACAGCACCTGACTGGTGCAGAAACTGAAATGAGGTAGGACAGGAGGAACACTACAAAGGTACCAAAGCAAGACTCAGTGAGCAGGAAAACAGCACTATCACCATCACCTGCAATAGGAAAGGAGAGGCAAAAAGAGCTTCCAACAAGTTACTGGGACAGGGGTTATCTCCATGTAGCCACAGCTTCAAATTCCATCAGTGCTGTCTCCACAGAAGTTCCCCTGTCTGTCTCTTCTGATTCCCCAAATGAGCAAGGAGAATTCCCACCTTCAAACACTGGTGCAATAACAGGGAAAGCAGAATTACATGGAGATACCGCTGCCCATCAGTTACAATATTTCAAGTCTGTATTCAGAGACTCAAGATCCTTGATGACCAGGATGCCATATGAAATACCTAGAGAAAGAATGCAATTCTTCCTTTCTTCTCTTTGTGGCACCATTCCCAATCTCAGGCTTCTCAACTTCCCATCCTGGGCAGAACAATCTTCCAGTTTCTTCCAGTCCTTTTGGGGCAGAACAGCTAAATGTTCTCCCTGCTGGCAGGAGCTACACAGCTCTACCCCAACACCCAGTGACACAGGAATGCAGATGCTGGATCATCACTTTGAATTTTGTGGAAATTCAACTTTGTAGCACGCACAACGGGATAAAAGCCAAACAAAATACAAGAGGAGCTACAAAAGGCCATAAATCCCTAGAATTTCCTCTAAGACAGCAAAATGAAGGTGATACAAGCTTACATAGCTGACTTGCTAATCCTAAGGGACCTGAGCAACTCTCCCATCTAATATTGTTCCAAAAAACTTCAGACTCAGGTAGGGATGAGGTGGTTTCAGGTCAACCTTACTTCTCCCTGCTTTCCAGCACTCTGAGCACTTTCCTGCTTATGTTACTGCAGACAAGGGAGCAACCCTAAAGAGATGGGTGGGATAAGGGGCTGCATCCAACAGCCAGGGACAGGGGGAGGAGGAAAAGTGCTCTCCTTGCTCTCAGGAGGAGAAGGGAAGAAGGAAAAGTGCTCTCCTTGCTCTCAGGAGAAGGGAAGTAGGAAAAGTGCTCTTTCTTGCTCTCAGGAGGAGAAGGGAAGCAGGAAAAGTGCTCTCCTTGCTATCAGGAGGAGAAGGGAAGCAGGAAAAGTGCTCTTCCTTGCTCTCAGGAGGAGAAGGGAAGCAGGAAAAGTGCTCTTCCTTGCTCTCAGGAGGACAGGGGGAGTAGGAAAAGTGCTCTCCTTGCTATCAGGAGAAGGGAAGCAGGAAAAGTGCTCTCCTTGCTCTCAGGAGAAGGGAAGACGGAAAAGTGCTCTCCTTGCTCTCAGGACAGGGGGAGTAGGAAAAGTGCTCTCCTTGCTATCAGGAGGACAGGGGGAGTAGGAAAAGTGCTCTCCTTGCTCTCAGGAGCCTCTAGGTTCGAACTTGGAACTTGCCAGCCTTGGTCATGTATTTTATCCCCTTGAAGGGCTTGTACTTCTCCCCATACATGTCCAGGCGATTCACCTTCAGTCCTAGAGGCAAACAAACACAGCATCAGACAGACTGACAGCCACAAACAAAGCTGACAGGCCTTGGGGATAAAGGGACAAAGATCATACTGGTGGTGCAGAAAGCACAGGGAAAGTTTTAGCAAGCTGTGACAGAATGGAGAAAAGCTGACAACTGCTAATTGTTAGAATAATTCTTCACAAACACATCCATACCCTTAATTTTCTTAGAGGTCTGTAAGCACAAAATGCAAGGAAATTTACCAACACATCCATATCCTTAATTTTTTAGAGGTGTGTAAGGAAATGCAGCTAAGTTGTTTCACAGACCACCAGAAAGAACAAATCCATATATTTGTAGTCAAAGCAACTTTTTTCCTTGAAGAACATATTTCAGGTAGAATGTCCTTCAGAAGGTTTGAAAAATTACTTCAGCTACGTGCAGAATGAGCACAGCAGAGAACATTGCACTTCTTTACCTCAGTCACTTACCAGATATAGCCAGCTGCTGAATTTTAAACTGCAGGTTAATGGTGGGGTTTTCATCTGGCTTTGATGTCCCAGCTTGCAGGCTCACACTCCCCTTCAGACTTGGCAGCTTCTGGGGGTTGATTTTCCCAACATCCCATGACAGTAACTTGAAGGAGCAGAAAATGCAGCAGTGAAACTCAAATGCTGCACCTTGTAAAGAAGAATCCCCTTTAAATAACAGCTTTTAATGTTTCTCTATGAAAAATGTCTTTTTTCTTAGCATCTTGCCTTTCATATTGGCCAGACACAGGATTAAGGAGGGGATACCTCACTCCAAACTTTTTTTCTCCTTCTCTTTCCATGAGGCTCCCCAAAAGCCTACTATAAATGCTATTTCCACTAATTGTAGAGGGTAAACCCATCAGATTAATGTTTGCAAGAAGGAAAAAAAAGTTCAAAGAACAAAACCAGAACACCCCAAACCAAACCCAAACCATTGATCAACCCTCAGTGTTTGCAAAATACCAACATGCAGCACTGGGATGACAACAAGATAAGTTTGTAAGGCATCCACCAGATTGATTTCCCATTATACAAGACCAGGGCTTGGATTTTCTTCACACACCAAGCAGCCAGAACTAAAATCCACTGAGACACCAAGGTATTTGTTCTGGGGATTAAGAAAACCCAGAACAGAAAAAGTTCTCACCCCAACATACTGCCTCCAGCAAAGCAGTGTTTGTGGAAGTGTTCATGTAAGCATCAACAGGTTGACTGCATTTTCTGATGGATAAGAAAGAATTTTTTAAAAATTAATATTTAATTTCTCTCTTTCCTCTTACCTTTGTAACTGGATCAAAGGCATGTGTTCCCTGGGAGGGTGTGAGGGTCATATTTAAGACACTTTTTGGCATCTGGCTGGTGACCATCACCCCCTCTACAGTCTTGCCCATGGTCTGCTTTGGCCCCACTGTGATCTCAAAGCGTCCCAGGGAGCTGCTGTCCCGAAAACTGATGTTGTGCTTGACATAGACAGGAATTGCCACAAGGCTAGAATAAAGAAACAAACAGAAAGTCCTTGTCAATCTCTTGGCTTCAGATTTGCTTAAAAGAGAAGGAAATCCTGCACTCGTTTGTTTGGGCTAGGAGCAAAGTCAGGATTCCATTCTCATGTCTTAATTGCACTTTTTGTAATCAAGCTTGCTGTGTCCTCTTTGATCAGAAAAGGGAACTACAGCCAATAAAACAGGAAGCTTGACCAAAAAGAAATGGTTTTGCATGTCACAGCCAGGTTGACAAGCAGTTCCTGGCAGTGCAACACCACCTGAACTTCATGTTTGTGCTTTTGGTTGCATTTGCCACTCTTTTTCACCGACTAGAGATAAATCTCCCAGAAGTTTAGCAAAATTCTTTAGCAACTGTAACTCCAAACTTGGCAAGCTGCTTCTAGAAAAGAGTGTAAACCTTGACAAAAACTTGTGGTTCCATTATAAAAGATGTCACAAACCTAACAGGTGCACCAAACTATCTTGTTTTATTCTAATAAGTTTTTTTAAACATATGAAATCAACAGCTTGATTACACTGTCTAATTATTTTACTTTCTAGTTTGTTTATCTGCTAGCAGTCTTTGAAAAATGCTGGCTGGCCAGAAAGAAATTACAGAATCACCAGGATAAAAGTGTAATTTTAGAAAAACAAAAATGCAAGTCACCATGCACCTCTACTTCGTTTGGCTCAATGTGCCACCTCAGCTTTAAAAGTTCCTTTTTTTTATCCTCCCCCTAGGCAGAAGCATCCAAATTTCCTAACTCACAGCACCAGACTCATCACCTACTTCTGAGCACTGACATGGTAGGAGAGCAGGCGGAAATTCCCGTCAGGGGGAATGAAGGAGAGGATCCTCTCTGACTCCCAGCGCTTGAAACGCACACAGGGGTGGAAGCTGACATCATCCAACAGCCGCGGGTTCTGGAACAGAAATCACAAAGTTTGTGAGGGCAGCACGGCTTAAAATGACCTTAAAATGCCTTAAAATGACCTTAAAATGACCTCCCCTTCTTAGCAATCTTCTGTCCATGAAGGGCCTAGCATTTGACACACTCTTGACCACTTGAAGTTGTCTGATGCTGTTATATCCCTGTGAAGGCAGTACTCAATAACCTCTATCCTTTTCTAGGATATTTTAAATCCTATTTTAGAAAACTTAGTCATGTCACATAATTACATTGGTACATACTCATAAAAGAGGTGGCTCTTCAGGATATCTGCTTTAAGCACCACTGTATCTCAAAACCTTCCTCACAGCACCCATCACAAACAAATCATCTGAAAAAGCCTTTTTGGGCTCCAAGTTGCTGAAGTTCCTGATGAGTTCCCATTGTCATTTCTTTCTCTCTTCATCCAGCACACCCATGTTCTGATGTACATCACCACAAGATCACAATCTCAGCAGCAGGGCTGGGAAATCCCTCTCAAAATACTGAAGTGAAGACACATCCTTGAGCTTTACCATAAAGGAGAGGGTAAGGTCTGGCATCCCAGTCAGCTTGACACAAGCATCAATCACTCCTTGGATTTCAGCAGTAATAGTGGAACCTGCAACAATAAGGAAAACACAGGCGGGTTTGTGAAGCTGATCAAAAACATCCCAAAGTGGAAAAACTGTGAGTGAAAAGGAAGGAAATCTATTTTCTTAATGAAACCTGCTCAACATTTGTATCATTCCCAATGACTCCTCTAGAAGATTCACTCAGTAAGAACCATGGACACCAACAACGTCCATTTTAATGCCAATGACAACAGCTCCCAGTTCTAACAAGACTAAGAAGCACAAACACTAAAGAGAAAGTGCTGTGCACAATTTTTGCTCATCATCTATTTTCCCAATACAGAATTGCTTATGAGACCTCAAGAATGAAAACCCTGGTGCCTCTGTAAGATTTTTGACTGACTAGCACACACAATTTAGCATCATTCCAGAGCAAAAATAGGAACAGAGCTTCCCACACTTGGATAAAGGTGCACCTATTTCAAAACCTAACTCTCTCTTCAGCCACTATCAGGACAAGTTATTTTATTTTTAACCAGGAGCAGGTTCCATACCTGATTTGTCAATGATTGCATCAATCTCCTCAACCACATCAAAATAGGCCTCATTGTTGGTGTATTTGACACCAGTACGTCTCCAGGGCACCACTGAGAGCTGTCCAGTGGGAAGCTGGTCTCCCACATTTGTGCTTCCTGGAAAAAGAAAGGGAATCAACACCCACAGAATTAGGCAATGCTGCAGAGCAAGTCCCCGGCTTTGTTGAGCTTAATTGTAATTAATCCCCAAGAACCTCTGTTTCTGTGTAGGAAATTACTCTTCCATTTACTCTCCAGACTCCCAGTACTCCAAAAATGTACGTCTCTCTTACACCCAGCTCTAAAAAATATAACAGTAATGCATGAGAAAGTGTCTACATGTAGGGATGGGTAAACTCACATGAAACTAACTCATCCTGGAAGTCATGTCAAGTCTAACTGAAAATGTCTGACTTTTTAGGTTAAAATACCCCAAATCAGACCAAAACCAAAGTGCAGCTGGTGCTGAAACCGGAAGGAACCTCAAAGCAAAGCACTAACACATGGCCCCCTAAACACACCTGCGCTGCATGAATAAATTTTCTTCTCCCATGTCCTAATTATGCAGGAATATTCCCACCTGGAGCCCCCAGTTCCTCTTCTTCTTGTTTCCCTGTACCTGTGATGGTGTTGACGACTGTTCTCAGAATAGTAGGAGGCTTTATCAGCTCCTTCAGAATATTGGACTCTGTTGCCAATGGAAAACCATTGTCCAGCATCTCCTCCAGTACCTCATAAACCACCACAACATTGTCCTTGATTATCACCTCTGAACAGACACCAAAATAATCCTGTGCAAAAGAAAGGATTACTCAGTGATTTCTGAAAGAGAATCTTAGTGAACATTTGTGAACACAGGAATAAATCAAGTCTCTTCTTGCAAAAAACCACTGAAACTCCCTGTATTACTACAAGCACAGCAGACATACACAACTCTGAGCACACCTTGGCCACTGCTCCAGTGAGGTGGCAAATTCCCCCATCAGCTGTCCCAACCAATTCAGCAATTTTTAAAACTGAACATTTAATTTACTTACTGTCTTATTCTATGTGAACTTCAAGCATCTTACAGGAGAGAGCAAGTGCACACACACAAACCTGAGCTTCTAGTTACTTACAGCAATTAAATGAGATTTTGCATAAAGAATGAGTATATTTACGCTGTGAGAGTAGAGAAATCCTAGTTCTGCATTACAAACACTCGTTTTCAGACATACCAGATTTTAATATAATTTTTTAATGAGGGCATGAGTGACAACACACTCATACCCTCATAAAAAAAGACCAAAGGGTCTGACATGATCCACTGCTGGCTTAAATGGCCAATCCATGCCTGAAAGTCAGAGTAACATAACTCAGAACACAGTCTGAGCTACAGGTTCTGACTGACATCTTGGAAGCAGAAGCTCCCATGACACTCGTTTGGCCAAGCACACACATTTCCTGTATGCTGGCAACATGCTGGTCACAAGACATTTCAAAGGCAGACAACACAGCCCTGTTGTTGGCAGGAGGAAGAACAGACAGACATCTTTGCTGTTTTCCTAAACTGATCAGAAGATGTGTCAACCATGACACAGAGGGAATGCGGCTCCTCTGGGGCAACTCCTGCAATTCACTGCTTTGGGAAGCTATTAAGAAGCATTGCTAGGTGTAAACGCACAGGTAGGCTGTCACTAATTGATTAAAAAGCAAAAGCTCCTTATGAGAACAAGGCCAGCTTGGTATTAGTTCACACTTCCCAGAGCAGACAAGGCTGCAAAATAAAAATACTGATTTATGATTTACGGGCACAGGTAGATCCCGAATCCATCCTGAGCAGTAAATTCCCAACTACTCCCTAGTAATCCCTAGGCATTAAATTCCCAACTACTCCCTAGTAATTCCTAGGCAGTAAATTCCCAACTACAGCAAGCCCTGTCTACATCCTCACAAACGCAGGATGAAAATTACATGATAAGAAACAAAAAAACCCCTAAGAAGTGCAAACCAGAGGGGTTCTTTGCCGAGGCTCGGAGGGTCCCACACCCCTCGGCCATACCTGGAAGGTGTCCACGACTCGGTGCAGGAATTCGATGACGAAGAGCGGCGGCACCTCGCTCTGGATGACGGCCACGAAGAAGATCTTGTGCCGGTAGACGCTGAGGAGGTAATGGTGAGGCGTGGGGATCACCGGCGGCACGTTCTCTGCCTCCGAGGCCCGCTCCTGCGCCTCAAAGAAATAATCACAGACGGAGCGGCTAACCACGCTCTTCCAGTGCTTCTCCAGGAAGATGTCCCCCGAGGCGTTGATGAGGAACAGGCTGTGGATCATGGTTGCGGCGGGGCCGAGCCGGGCCGGGCCGGGCCGGAGCGAAACCCCTCAGAGCGCTCCTCACACAGGCCCCGCCCCCGGCAGCCGCCCCACCCACTCGGGGCGGGGCTTCCGCAGCGAGCGCTGCTATTGGACGCCATAGGCCGGTGAGGCGCACGGCTCGTGACGGGACGCAGCTCCCGCTCCGTGATAATCCCGGGGATGTCGGCGGGTACGGATCGCGCCCGGCGGAGCCCCGCGCGTCTCTGCGTCCCATGTCTCTGTCCGGTGACCGATTCCGTGTGCCGTCCCGTTACACACCTGACAAGGCAAGGAGCATCGCGGCGCCCTCAGGCCCGGAGCTACGCAAGGCGTCCCCGCTAGGCGGCGCCATCGCAACCTGAGGATTCCCCTCACGGAGGGCGCTGCGCGCTCCCCCCGGTTCGGCCGGGTGTTCACCCGCCCCTCATGTTCCTAATTCGGTCTCTTTTCTAGAGGGGAACTGAACTGTAGTCTATGAAATGAGGAAATAACCTGGCTTTTGCTAGGGAAACGTTTCTCACTCCATTATTCTGCTGGTTCGTTCACCACGGAGTAACAGCCCAGAAAACATCCCAGCTGGCGTGAAAGCAATTGTCATGCCAAATTTACCGAAATTCTCTAGCGAATTATTCCTTTGCATAACTAGAACTAGGGTTTCATGTTCATATAGCAGATCCCTGGACTTCTGAGTAAAATATGCCATGACAAATAACTTTCCTACTACACTGCTGGGAATGTACAAAAACAATGGAAAAACACTTCTTTGTATCCCATTAAATAAATTGTCTGAGCACACAGCCTTTCTTATAAGGGAGCCTCTTCTACATGGGAGGAAGGTCGGACTATCGCCTCAGCATGGAGAGGCTGAAATCTGAGATTTCAGACCCAAATGTGATTCAGGATTGTGGGTGTGAAAAACGGCAATCACTTGTTTCTAAAATTGTAAAAGTTTAAGAGTAATAAAGTGGTTATAAAAATAATAATACAGTTAGAGTAATAATAATAATTTGGACGATTTGAATTAAGACAATATGAGACAATAGCAACAAAGAGTTATGGATGTCCGGGTACCTTTTTCTGGGCAGGATAAACCCGAAAAAGGACCCCCTTTAACAGAGGATTAACCTTTAAAAACAATAATCTGTTGCATATTCATACAGCTCATACATGATGCATAAATTCCATTCAAACACAGGATTCTGTCTGGTCAATGTCAATTTCTTCCTTTTAATCCTAACAGTGTCTTCATGGCTGAGCAAGGTGGGAAGAAGGTCGTTTCTCCTGATAACGGAGCAATAAATTCTCTTTCTCTGAAAGATTTAGGTGTCCTGTAACTGCTATCTCAGTGCGAGTCCTTTCTTTAGAAAAAAAAGCATCCTACAGAGCATAGTTTCTATTTTAACATTTTGTTACAACCTAAAACCATATTTACCACACTACTTAAGAGAATTAACACAGCATTACTGTCTAACACAACACATGTAACATTAATTTTAATATTTGCTGAAAAGCCAATCATAAAATACGCATTTTTCACAGCGGACAAATCTTTTAAACGGTGCGATCCGCCTCGCCTCACGTCACCTCACGGCCGGGCCGCTCCCCTCACGCCCCGCCCTGCCCCGCGCGCTCCCGGCCTGGCCCCGCCTCCCCCGCTCCCCTCACGCCCCGCCCCGCGCGCTCCCGGCCTGGCCCCGCCTCTCCCGCCCTCAGCGGCGCAGCCGCGGCCCCGCAGCGCCCCCTGGCGGCCGCCCGCGCCCCGCCGCGCTGTTCCGTGGCCTCGGCACCCCCCTCCCCCCGCGGGCTGTTCCACCTCGCGCCCCCCCGCCCCCCGCCGCAGCGCGCCGGGCCCAAGATGGCCGCCGTGTCAGTTTCGGGCTTCGCTGCCGTCCGGCCTTCACCTCCCGGGACCCGGCGCTCGCGGCCCTCGGTAAGTAACGCCGGCGGAGCCGCGCCGCCTCGGCCGGCTGATGCCGAGGAAGTCGGGGACAGGCGGTTGGCGAGCTCCGTGGCCTGGGGAAGGGGAAGGCCCAGTTGGGCGCTCCAGGCTCGCGGCCTGTTCCGGCCCCGCCGCCGCTCTGCGCCAGGCCCGGCCCCGCCGTCCGCTCCCGCGGCGCTCGCCAGGCCCACGCCTCGGGGAGGTGGCGGCCGCGGCGCGGCGCGGCCGAGGCGGGCGAGGCGGACGGGGCTCCGCGAGCTGAGCTCCGATCAGTGTCTGGCGCGGGAGAGCGCGGCTGAGGCGGGCGCGGGCCTGGCCGTAGCCGTGCGAGGAGCCGGCCGGGCCGCGCTGCCCGTGCCCGGGAGGACGGAGAGCTGCGTGGGGCCCGGCCGGCTGCCGCGGCCTGCGCCCCGCTTTTCCCAGTTCCCCGGTGCGGGGCTCCGTGCTGAGGCAGTGCGCTGCTTGGGGCGCCTGGCGCGGGACTACCCGCGGTAGGGATGGGGACGGGCGGTAGCAGGTGCAGGGGTCGCTTGTCACCCAGAGCCCGGCGAGCCCGTGACCCACCGGCGCTGGGACCGTCCCGGTGTCGCCCCGGCCTGGCCGGACGGTTGCATAACGCGCGGAGCCGGGCTGGGGACACGGCACGGAATCCTCCGGGGCTCGGGATGCAGGGGCTGGGCGGGAGCGCATCTCCGTTCTGCGAGCAGGGCAGGTGGCGAGGACCGCGCTTCGTTGTCCGCAGAATTAAAGAACTCAGTGCATCTTTTCTGCTTTAAGCAGTCGTTCAGAGTGTTTCCAGTGCTGGCCATGTGGAGTTCTGCTGTTGAGTCTGATGTCTGTATGCAAACGTGTTCCGTGTGTTGATAAATTCTTCGGTACTTACTAGAAAGCAGAACACGATAACTGTGTTGTCAGCTTGGCTCTTGTCTAAAAGTTCCCTTGTAGAAAATCATTATTTCTTGTGATAAACACTGCAGATCATTCTTGGTTAGTGTACTCTTGAAGTAGAACTTCAGCACAACAGTTATCACACCCAGAAAAAGCTCTTTTTAAGATAACTAACTAAAGGCTCTAAGGTAGAGCCTCACACCCTTTCACCAGCATCATTAATTAGCAGTGCCACAGGCATTCCTTTTATGCTGTCTATGGTCACCTGTTACTTTGTCCTCAGGTGTTTTCAATGGGCCTCATCAATACTGAAAATTATGTTGTATTTTTTCTGTGCCCTCTAAAAGCAGAGCATTTAATTGCAATCTCCACCTGCGTTTCTTCACTTTTTTCCTTTATGGAACAACTGTCATAGCTTTTCTTCACAGATGAGATTGCACTCCTGAAAGTGCTCTGAAAGTTTCTTGCTGTTTGCTCAAGTTATTCCTATTCAAGTTTGCTTGGTTATTCCTATTTTCTGTCAAAGTTTCAGGCAGTATCTTCCATGTGTAAAAATTAAGAAAGCTGCTGCTCTTTTAAGGTGTTTGCTGTGGTTTTCTTTTTTTCCCCCCAAATATTAATTTATGTTGTGCTCAGCAGTGATAGACTAATAGATCAAAATGGAAAGGACACTTTTCTCTAGGTTGTATTGGATAATTTTAGTGGTAAATTATGCTTTTATTAATAGTGAAGATAAAATCTGAAGTATTCATTATTTCAGAAATGTAGTGGCTTAAAACTCTGCTGTGTGTTTAACAAATTAATGTTGTCGGCTACTTTTTTTTCTTTTCTTCAAAACTGTTTTTTTAAAATGTCTCTCTTGTTTTCTTCCAGGCCTAACATTAGAGCTCTTTTGGTTGTGAGACCAGAAGCTCAGGTGAGATAATGCTGAAATCTTCATATATTTCTGTAAAGCTGTTATGGGATTTATTTGAAAGAGTATGGAAGTTTCTAATTGTTTTCTTTTCTTCTTTTCAGTGTGAAAACAAAGAATGTTTGAGAAAGGAGGATTAATTCAGAACAGCAAACGTGTATGCTATGGTTAGGTGGTTCCCATCCTTCGAGGATCTGTTTTCTCATCATTTGAAGCTCCTTCAGCACCAGGATAAGGGATAACGACTCTATGGATATACAGAACCCTTCACCATGGTGAAACTCGCCAACCCCCTGTACACAGAGTGGATTTTGGAGGCAATCAAAAAGGTAAAGAAGCAAAAACAGCGACCTTCAGAGGAGAGGATTTGCAATGCGGTGTCATCTTCGCACGGTTTGGACCGCAAAACTGTTCTGGAGCAGTTGGAGTTGAGCGTTAAAGATGGAACTATTTTAAAAGTCTCCAACAAGGGTCTCAACTCCTACAAGGATCCTGATAATCCTGGCAGGATAGCACTTCCCAAGCCTCGCAACCATGGCAAGTTGGATGGCAAACCAAACGTGGACTGGAATAAACTCATCAAACGGGCAATCGAGGGCTTGGCCGAGTCCAGTGGCTCATCCCTGAAGAACATTGAGCGCTTTCTGAAGGGTCAGAAGGATGTGGCTGCGTTGTTTGGGGGCAGTGCTGCCTCCATTTTTCACCAGCAATTGCGATTAGCTGTCAAACGTGCTGTTGGCCATGGCAGGCTCCTTAAGGATGGACCTCTGTACCAACTCAACACTAAAGCAACCACTAATGCTGATGGCAAGGAGAGCTTTGAGTCTCTTTCCTGTCTCCCTCCAGTGTGTCTCCTTCCCCATGAAAAGGACAAGGTAAGAAAGAGTTTTTGTTGGGTTGTTTTCTTGCGGTCGATGCAATGTGTCAATACAGAGCTGCAGTTTGAAGTTCTGATTTCATCTTGAATCTGGTGTGTTTGAAGTTATTACTGGGTATTCAGGATCCCATTGTAGCCAGTTTTCTAAACATGAGAGGAAATGGACTGTGATTTGTAGTTTGGATCAGAAAATTGCAGATGGGCTGCTGTGGGGAATTTACAATTTGCAGTACTGTGGGAAATTGCAATTTACAATATTTACATTAGTGTGGGAAATTTCCAATTTACAATATTCACAATACTATGGGAAATTTCCAATTTGCAGTATTTACAGTACTGTGGGAAATTGCAATTTACAATATTTACACTATTATGGGAAATTTGCAATTTGCAATATTCACAATACTATGGGAAATTTCCAATTTGCAATATTTACAGTACTG